CAGTAAAAGAGGGGTCATTAACTTTGCCAGTGATGGTACTTACAGATCAAGTGCAACAAATGATATGTTAACAAACAAGTATCTAATACTTCTAATACTTACATAACTATCTAAAATCACAAAAATAGGTATATCATTTCCTGTACAAAATCACCCCTATACAATCATAAAATGCTACCAGAAACTGGATGGCGTAAACAGCTAAAACTAAATCTCTTAAATACTAACAATAAAATTTTCCTTAACACGTAATTGGTATGAAAAAAAAATTGGATACCTTTTCTAATGTATAAAAATACAATGCTCCGCATATTAAAAGAATTTGTCACATTGAATAAACATTTCATTATTACTAGACTCAAATCTGCATAGAATTAATATCATTTTCATATTTAAGTACTAAAATGGACCCTTTCATACACTGAATTCCAAAACCAACAACTTACATTCAATACCAAAAAAAAAGTTATTAGTTCACATTGGAAACGTTATGACCATTTAACGGTTAATTTAGATTATCTAAAATGTTTTAACATCCTACATTTAGATTAATTAAATTAAGATTAGACACTTTCTTTTGGCCAGTTTCGGCACGCAATCGGCGCGCAATCATTTAACCTCATGAAATAATTTGGCATATTTTTATGAGCGAATGAAGGCACTTCATATACCTATATCTTCGAAAATTATTAAAACCGAGGGATAAATTGAGAGCTTATTACTTGATGCAGGATATTCGCATTTCGACGATGTTTTGGATTGCTGACCCATCTACTTCGGAGATGATCTGAAAATTAAACGCAGAGAATCATATGAGATGAGTGTATCGTACAATAAGAAATACGAGGTACCTACGATTCAAGCTGAGATACAAGATAAGATTCATACCGTAAAAAGCTGAAATCGATTAACTATACTGCTATTAAATTTTAAATTTACATTACTGAAATCATTTAGGTTTGGTGGTGAGAGGTTCCACCCTGTATATACAACTTACGACGATACATACATTTTTGAGAGTTGGCAACCATGCAATTTCTAGATGGGAAAAAGCTATCATCTAAAAAGCACGGACGGTGGTTACGTTAGGCATCTTGTCTTGAATGGCGGTCGTGAACGCATTGCTCCATAAATGTTTATTGTTATTTTGTGTTATTTAATGCAGGTAGTAATTTTTGCATTTCTTTATATCGTATTTGTTTTTGTATGCCACATTTTATATTTGTTGTGTGTTTGAATCTTTGTTTTTGAAATTTACTTGGTTTAACCACAATGCAGAATGACATTTTTAATACCGTTATCCTTGTGTTTGTAATGGTTTACGTTTTTGGTGTAAGTAATGCTTGCTTAATTTATGTTTATTAATGTTGATTACTTGGTATTGTCCCTGAAGTAACATTCATATAAGTTTTGATCATTTTATTTTAATTTGTGGAAATTACCGATTCGTTTGATGTATGTACTGACTTGTTGTTTGTAACTAACAATGAAGCAGTCACGGGGTGGTTAAAACTGTAACCATTTGAAATACGACACCTACCTAATTCCGTGATTGTCTTCAACATTCAACTGTAAGCTGGAAACCCCGAAACCAGGGGCTTATACTGCCGGAGCGGGATTACGCTAATCAAAGCTCTTCAGTTTAGAATCTATGTACGATAAACGAGGTACAATTCGTAAATTCCACATATCTTGTTCTTTTGTTAAATTTGCCTACAAGGCCATGTAATTTTCCATCTTGCTTTTAACAAAAGGACTTTATTGCACCAAAAATGAGTCACATCTTGTGTATTTCATCCTTTCTTAGAATCTCTCCCAAAACTTGTTTTTAACCTATATGTTACCTCTTGAAGTCTACATGCTACCGTTTATGTGATGTTGATGTGATAAATTTATGTTACGCATTCACATCATTACAAACAATTACCTAATTTGACGGCTGGTTTTTTTAATTGGTAAATTATTTTTTTCCCAGCCAATTTCTATTTTTATTCCGTGAACTACCATTTTCGAAGTTTATTTTGCAATGTAATTTATGTTGCCTTAAATTTCCGAGCTTTTACAATCATAATAATCACGATAATTATTAAACAAACTTTTCACAATTTCAGTGTTGCGTTCCTTCCCTACTATGCTTCAGGTCATAGCGTTGGTTACATGTACGACGCTATTATGTGCGACGCACAATTTGCATCCACACATTGAAATTTTTTGTAGGCATCTACAAAACTTCTATCGTCGACAGAGATTCTGCATTATTCCGCATTTTTATACATACACATTCACGTTTTTGTATGTACATTTTTGAATGGACGTACATAAACGCGTACAAAATCGTCCGTCTATAGGGCCCTTTACGTACTTAAACTGAATATTCCTTTGCGTTTCCCTAAACAATCGTTTATATTGTTGTGTGTACGACTTTGGGGTAATCTATAGTTGAATTTTGCATTAGAATATCGATTCAAATTGTATATTCAATTTTAGAGAAAATTTTCATTCACGATTCGAAACTTACATTGAATTGTTTATATTGTAACTTATAAAGTTTGCATCACCAATAAAGTAGACGATGTATCACCTGCATTTGACAGTATTTATTGATTTGAAGATATAATTCAGGTAACATATCAATTTAGATTTTTATGGGACATTTAAAGTTGGGGCTTTATGTGAGCACAACTTTCCCAAATTTTATTATCATAAATTTGCCCAAATTAAGTTTTTGGTATAGATCAATAACACATTATTTACTATATCGAACTACATATAGGTGCCCGTATTTATATAGGCAAAGCAAAAAACTTTTACACAACGAGTTGTAAGCTAAGGAGCAAACATCAAGCCAACGAGTCAGTAAGAAAAATCAACATCTTTGGTGCAACCAACGTGAGGGTATCAATTTCAAACCTATACATTGTGAAACTTCACACCCACATATTGACACAAGAAATGTTACCTCACAAATCAGCACAATGAGCGTGTCAAACTTCAAATGTGGTCATATCTCTATTTTAGAATTAACTGACCTTGGCATTAATACATCCCCATTTGTAAAAAAAACCATAGAAACAAAAATCAAAATTATGAATATTGGCTACATCTACTTACAGTTTAAGGAATCGCCTGGCACTCGGTCTAGATTTCAGGCTACTGACGTTCTTGACCAAATGAAATAAAGCGTACATTTCTCTTATTGACAGATCAGCCGGTCCATACAAAAAGTCAGCGCCCTGGTCGATAATCTCGTGCTGTAGAATTTTCTTTAAGTTATCGCAAGGTAGTATCATTGAAGTAGCGTCGTGTATCTCAATATTTTCCCTTTCTCTCAAAATGCCCGTAATCAGGACGTCGTCGATCCAAAAATAATCAAACTTCTGCACCTCGCGATATAAGACGAAGATGACGTCGGGCGAATACATGATGACCCATCCGGGACAGTACGCCGGATAGTACTCGTTCTGATACTCGTTGAACGAAACCCTCCACTTGGAACGGAACGATCGCTTGACGGGCGAATGTGCCCGTTTCGAGCACGAAAGCAATCTTTCGGCGCCGTACGGCGACAAATCTACAGTTAGAAAATTCACTATCCTAGGCATGTTAACGAATACGTCGTCGTCAGTCTTAAGAATGTATTTGGCGTTCGGGCAATGGTAAATTGCAAATTTGAGCGACATGACGTGCTTGTACGTCACGTTTCTGTAGACGTCCAGGAACGTCCCTTGCACGATATCCCGATGGTTCCTGTTTTCCTCCGCAATTTTCTTTTGGAGCCTAGATTCCCGCGCGAGCCCCAACATGAAAAAGATCGAAGCATTTTGCAATTTACTTCCCCATGTCTCCCTAATACTTTTGCGGCGATGGTAATTATTGGGAGCGCTGTGAACTAGAATGAGCAACAGAGGCCACGTCTTGCATTTGTTCAGGATCGCGAAGTCGAATGTTGTCAGATTCATTAAGGTGTTGTAATCCAACTGGGGCAGCTGGTACATCGGATGTTTGTATGACGAATTTGCGGTGTGGAGTGTGAAACTAAGAGGTGAGTATCGTGTTGATGTATTGTAATCGTAAGCAGAACGGATCGTAATGGAATGGCTGGTGTAAATATGCCAAATTGATATCGAAGTTAATAGCAGTAGTATTAAAGCGCAGTTTGACCAGAATCGTCTTTCCAGCATGTTTATTATTTGGTGACTTCATAAGTTGAATGGTGGGGGTATAACCTGAAACATAAAATAATGAATTTAGAGCCAATAGAAAGCTTGGAGTGCGTTATAAATGAGCGGAAGAAGAAAGGTTCTCAGTTATTTTGCTAGTAAGATAATTGGTAAGACAATAACTTCAGGAACGTCTAAATGTTCCAATACAAATAAGTTTGTAGGAACGAAAAGGTCGGTGTCAAGATCAGCTTCATCAAATTTATTTTGTTATACGACTTGCGGGTAAGCCAAAACGTCATTACTTTCATTGTGTTGCAGCAATACTTGCACGATCGGTACAGGAGAGCAGCGCTTTGTCGCTACCGTCACGCGATATTTTTAACTTGCCATAGAGAATCGTGTTTTCCTGCAGTATTGCGTTTGATAGCAATCAAACGGAAACTAATTACGTGCAATATTAATTTTTCCGAATTAAGTTTCACTCACAACACCCTTGAAAAAAAGTTTCATACCGCTTCCATCCAAAGATTTACATTTAAGCCTCTCCGTTTCGACCCAAAACTTCAAGCTTAAATCTTCCGTTACTGGTTCTAATTACGCTTATAAGGCACTAAGCTGTAACGGTTAATTTTCTTCATTACAACGCAGGCAATATTTACTCGTTGAATGATCCTTGTCACAGTCTTGGAATTTTAAACACGCAATTTTTGTGGCGATACGATTAGTCGTTATCGATGGTCAACATTCATTTTTCTCTTTCGATTGCAAGCTGTAACAGGCACCTTAGCTAAGGCGTAAATGAAAGCGCATGAAATTTTAATTGCCGCCACCCATATATTATTAATTTTTAGCGAGGATTCCACATTATTGTCTGAACGGATTCGCCCTACACTAAAGACGGCACCATTCTCCTACGACGATTGTTGCACATTCATCTATAACTAGCCCTCTTATTTAAAGAGGTATGTACATTTTAAGGTTACCAACAAAGAGGATTACCTTTGATTTTCTTTTAGGGTTTACTTTCCAGTTTCAATTTCAAGCTAAGCTCAAATCTAGTTTTAGTTTATGGTCCCAATTTAAGGACTAGTTCCAATTCAATTTTAAGTATAATTCCGGATACGGATTACATACGCGTGTGGGTAACCTTGGAGTAAATTCCCCATCGGTGCGCGCGTGCCCTTTTAATAGAATTTCCTCAACCAAGAAACAATAACTTCCGTAACCTTTTAACGTATTAATCCATAACTATTTTTGTCCCTTCCGGATTAGATGTAATCTATCTATTTATTATCTTGAGATCTCTCTCACATTCTTGTGAAGCGGTTGGCCGATTAATTATCGTACTTTTTGATAGAAGCGAGGCCCTTCAGGCATGGTTCAGTTCATTGCATTCCGAACTCTGCGACTTGGAAGTTTTCTTTTGTTTGCAAGTTTATGGATCCGGGAACTGAGCTCACTTCTCTGGATGAAATCTAAGTTACAGTAAGGTAAGCGCTGCCTTTTTATGTTTTGCTTGTATTTGGCCTATACGTGCGATTTTTGTTCGTAACATCGCGCAATTTCTTTATGGAAACTTGCTTTAAGATCAAATAACCAATTTAATCGATCATTCTTGATTAGAGCTTTGTTAAACTTGTATATTTCAATTGTAAAGTCAAGTTATTAAGATTTTTGTGTCTAACGTAATGTAACAGTATTTCTGTTCAGGTTATTTAAAGTTCCTTTTTTACGTAATTAAACGGTAAGTCTAAATATAATCATGACCCCCACGGGCGATCAGTCTATATAAACGAAAGTGGATTGTGCGCGTAAAGCAGAAATGAGGCCACGGGGTAAACACTACGAAAATATAAATACGAAAATTTCCAGTACCAAGTAAGCAGTTGCCCGCCGTCGTTTCACGGAGCAACCTCTATGTCAGTCGCGCCCGCAAATCATAAGCGCGTTTTCTTGTAATATTGATTAGTGAATTGAGGCGACTTTTTTAAGAAAATCGAGAGAAAGAACCGAGCGAAAACATCTCCATCCACCCACTACATCGAAGGCGAAGACGATCCTTCACGGCACTCCGGAAAAAAGTAGGAGGATTGCGAGATTTCCGAAGAACAGTTCCATTTTGTGTTCTACGCGCGGTCCGTGCACAGTCTACTTGAAGGGTGCAGAAAAAGTCGTGTTAATACCTGCCTGCCTGTAATTGGCCGAACCGAAACTCGAATAGCTGCTTGCAGTGGGCGGTCCTGAGTTCATTGGATTTCAACATCGATCGGAGCGAGACCAAGACTGCATTCCGAATCCTAGTGCATATTAACAATAGAAGTTCAAGGTATTTATAAACCAGTAAACATTATCACGTTGTAGTTTATCATTTTTGTTTTTCACCCCGTCGAAGACAACATGTGTTTACCATTTCAAACACCTGCAGTCCAGTTTTTTCCTAGAAATGCGTGAAATGCAGGGAATGGGCCGTTTTCGGGTGATTTTTTGGGGTGTTTTAGGGATCAAGTTACAGCGTCGCTTGGGGAGGTTAATAAATACGATGTAGAGAATGTGTTCATGGTCTTTTCTTGTAACCGGCTTAAGTGTAAAGTACGGCTGATCTTGAAATAAGTATTTTGTTCATCATTCAATCATTGCTGTGTGCTTTTGCTTTTTATATCAGTGAGGTATTTGCTTTATTCAATTCATCTCTGAATGTGTCTAACCGTTGAGTGAAAAGTTTTATTTTTCACTCAACGGTCTAACTTAAATGCAGTTCGTAACCCTTTACTTATGTCCCTACTTACTGGATTGAATCACTTGTACCTCTAATGTGTAACATTTGTTGGTATTGGCAATTATGTTCCATTGTCGGTAGGGCCGTGTCCATGGTGTACATATTTGCATGCGTTCTGATATTTGTGTATTGTGCTTTTTACTCACTCTCGATTATTTCATTGCATTTCATTATATTTGTTTATTTGGGCTGTGACTAATCCAGAGGGAAGTGTGCTTGTTTAGAGGGGATCGAGTTATTCAAGTTTATACGGACCTTAGTGAACCAACCCCTAACATTTTCACTCTCCCGAAACCCAACAACTCTATCCCACGTCTACAGGCACCCCACTGGGCCTGGGCAATCCTACCGCCCGGCGAGATACATTTAATATCTCTTAGTTTTGTCTGATGTATGTGTTGTAATACCTGAGGAATGGCTCGATTCCATTTTGGTTACTCATAGCGTGTATGTAGTATTTACCCTGGTTTCGAGAGCGCTCAAAAGTGCTGTACATTAGATGTTGGCTGTAGGCTTTGTTCATTATAGGACTACTCCGAATTAGGTTTTCCTGCAGTTTTCCTAATTCGTAAGGTAAATGCCGGAGTGGTATAGAATAACTTAAGACCTTCTGCAGGGGCGCCGCTAAAAAGCATTATGCGGGTCACTCTGTAATCTAACTTGGTATTAGCTTCAATTTAATCTTAATCAGCCATTGCTTTTGGTGTTCCTTACCCATAAAACGCCCTCGGTGCCTGCTGAGAACCCAGTTATTACACAACGTAGGTGTCCTACATGACGATCAGCGAGAATATTCAAATAGGCAGCCATGTTAGTTTGACGTTCCCGCTACTACAGATATGGTCAAATATTCCTGCGTGACTTGAAGACCGCCAAGATAATAGGAGGCTAAGATCATTACAGGTTCCCCGTGTGAGAAAAATTCAATCTTTAATGGTTAATTCGTTTGCTTAATTCCCGTCCTACCAATTAAATAAGAGCCAATGCAATAAATCATTCCCACATACGACCATCATATTATACTAACTCCCGACATCTAGTCTCCCGAGATCCGGAATCCATTAATAAAATAATAAGCTACAGAAATTAAAGGACGCAGATAAGACGAGCCACCGGCACCAAATCCTTTATTAGGAAATCGGCCTTCAAAGTTTTGACGCCCTACAGAATTTCTATAATATGCAATGCCTACTTGTTTTACACTTCGAAATCTCAACATTTCTAATTTCACAACGAATTTTCGAAAAAAATTTAGAGCTACCGTTACAATACGTTTCAATTTTACACACAGAACAGATGATCTCAACAAATACTCAAAACCGTTTCTAAGGTAGAACTAAGATTGCATAACCTCCGTCAAAATCTTGATCCACAACTACCCAGCTAAATAAATTTAAATAACAAACCACTACTTGAAATACATCATTGAGAATTCTCTAAAAAGTGATAAACTATTGACACACTCAGTACAATTATTATTTATAGCATTTATAGCAGGATAGACAATTGATGATGATGATTGAATTTTTATATAACGAGGTTACGAGTTTTAGGTTCACTCTGTAGGCAACGTTCGGGTGTTTTCTGTCCCTGTTTTCAGTCCAACAGTTCTTAGCTGAGAAAGTGCAATGTAAAGAACGATCACATTATTTGGCGGGAGTTCCTAAATTTTTTTCGATGTCGTATGGGAGCAATTGGTCCCTGAATACAGACCAGACTGTTTAAATGCGCGTGAAAACATGAGGCGCCGGGAAGTCGTGGGGAATGACGAATGACGCAGTTAGATAAAAAGGACCATTTTTACACGGGTCACATCCGTCGATATTAAACTTGCTGGGCAGCATGCTTTTTGCCAATTTTGAGAATTTGGTAAACGTGAAGAAGTTACATGTGTTAAAAAATCTCATTGGCCAGAAAAAATGAGTCTTATTGGTTGTTCCTACGTCCAAGAATGGGTGTGACTAAAAAAGTAAAGTAGTGAAATTTAGGTTGCCACCAAATCTCAAGGTTTGTCCTCAAATTATAGGATTCAGGCTTGTATCGTAATTGCACTTCGAGCTTTAACGGCTCCAACCTGAAGACTGCTTCAGATTTTAGGCCCCTTTACAGTGTGCTTTAAGGGATTTGGTGCTTCGGATTCCAAGATTAAGCTTCAAATCTAAATCTTTAGAGAATATATTTTTGGAATCCGATGTATGAGATGTAACGGTACATTCCGTTGGGGTCTTTAAAAAATGTTCAAACTTCTATATAGATACCCGCAGGGTACTCCGAAGCGTTGTTTCCG